CATTCCATGTTTTCCTCTTTTTATTTGTAATATACAATTTCTGCAAAGAAATCCACACAGAAATGTCCAAAAAAAGAGAGAGGGAGTTCAACCACTAGATGCCACTAAATCCTAATGTCTGGTTCTTTAAAAGAAAGTTTCAGATTTATACACAGAGAATAATTTCCTCATATATGTGCAGTTGTGTGAGAAGTTCAACGTTCCAAAAATGCATTTTTCAAATATTTACAGTGGAAAGATATATACTACTACTACCTGAACCATATTGTTCAAGATGTAGGAAATGGCACTGACACTCATGTGACTGTAAAAAGATCAGCTATTTGTGTTTTATGATGTTGTTATCGTATTCAACAGACTCATCTTCCACAAAATTGCATTCATCCAGACAACTGTGTTGTTATTTTTTGAGCTGCTGCAGAGTGGCATTTCCAGAGGGGGCCCTATCCCACCACTGAAATCTGATTGGCCACCCCAAGTGCCACCCCATTATCCTTAGCTTATCCCTATCCTTCCAATCTTTCAGAAGCTTTGGCAGGCTCTGTTTTAAAGCTAGAGTGAAACAACTGATATCATATGAAACTAGATGACCTAACACATCCATTAGTACCAATGCAGTAGTAAAAATTTAGGCAATGGAAAAACTGGCATCGCTATTTTCAAAGGGATCCATTGACTTCTGACCTCAAGATATCTGAATGAAAATGGGTTCTATCGGTACCCACAAGTCTCCCCTTTGCAGACATGGTATAAATGTGTTAGTGTATTTGAATATTTCTGCATACTGGGGTCCATAAACAGTGTTGGAATTGCATACATTGAATGGAAAACTGAGACACATACTTCATGTCACCCCTGCATAAGTCAGTGCCCCACTTGTGAGGCCCCAGTCAAAAAAGTCTGGTAATGCCCCTGGCTCCTGCAGGCCAGGAGATCTGCAGAGAAAGGAACTTGCACCCTGTCTTGTTTAAGAGCGACTGACTTATATTATTAAAGGGAAAGACAACTGTACCTGTTTGAATGATTGACACATTTTCTATAATTTACTGTACATGTTATAGAACATGTACTGTGCATGTTGAAGCAAACCCACAATGTGTTACAAAGACTCCATCTTCCATCTGGTCCAGGAACACCTTACAATCTCTCACAGAGCACTGGGGGATGTACAGTAGCTGGGTCAAAAGACGTGTGGGCTACCGTGCACACATTTCTGCTGCTATAATGTAGATGTGGATAAGTGGCAAAAAGAAAAAAGAATCAGTAGAGTTGTTGTCTAACAATACTGGTGTGTTGTGTGTGCTCTTTGAATAATGGACTGATGGACTGATGTGTCTGCTGTGTGTGAATTAATGTGAGAAAGAGATCAAAATAATATGGAAAATACATGCCATAAAAGCAAGCCAATAAAAAATGTCCAGTGTGTAGGTTTTAGTGGCATATATCAATTGATTAATCAGTCAAACTTTATTTGTATAACGCCTTTCATACAGTTTAGTTTGTGCTTCACAGACAACACCGTATATTATTGGCTCTGATTGGTTGTTTTCATTCAGGCCCAGTGAATTCTTGCAAATGCCATTAGGAACACTAGGTGGAGCCAAAGGAACCTGATTTTTTCATGTCTCGTGCTACTGTCAGGATATAGTAAGTTTCAGCAAATATGACAAAAAGTGATTTTTATAAAAGTTACCTACTGCAGCTATAACAGGTGTATAATGAATAATATAAACCCTACTTAGTTCTTACTTGGAGATACTTGATGATAGATTATATTTGCCTCTTTACTATCCTTTACTGCCACATCATTGTCACATTTTGGGACAATATGTATGTGATAATAGCACCTTGTCAGCTGTGAGTCAAAATTAATATATGATCTATTTGATCTATTCTTGAGCAACATGAGGTGGTGGCAGTGCAGTCCTGAGTGGGCAGGTCTTCCTCTCATGTCTGTGCATGGCCCCAACAAGAAGAGCCTAGGGCCTACATTCCCTGTATAACGTCCAGCACTACTTTATTACTGCGCTGTTGAAATATTGTATTACCACTATATATTTACATATTAAATACATATTTATATGATCTACTTTACATTACATTTTCGCTATATATTTTTATCCTTTACAATGTACATATTCACAATTTGTTCCGCATTTATTTAGGCTACTGCATACTGTAGTCTGCATTTGCTCATTGTTTTTCTTATGTTTTCTTAATTTCATTTGCTCTTTAAAATATTGTAAATTTTTTAAAATGTTATATTACACTTTACATTAAGCCTGTTTTTTCTCTTGTAACTCCATCAATCAGAGGTTGAACCAATGAGCAGAGTTGAGAGGTTTACATACTAAAAATGTAATCTGATACAATCATAAATTATCTGTCAGTGTCAGTGAAATGTAGTCAGTGACCTAATCAAAATATCACAATATTTAAGCAACGTAACTTGATTACTTTACTTTAGTTACTTTAGGATTACCTCAACACCAAATATGCACAGAAAGACAAGAGAAAAGAAATATTAATAACAAGAACCTATGTAAGTGTATTCTATAAGACAACAAAACAATGTAACCTAAGAAAAGAAAATGGAAACAATGTGTCCTCTGCTCAGTGTAATTTAAAGAAAATTAAAAATGATTAAAATTATAATCCTGCTAAAAATTCCCATTTTTATTAAAAGTAACTGTAATCTGACTTTTTTAAATCCATTTTCTCTGTAATGGATTATATTTACCATTTTTTTATATCCTGATAACATAACTTAGTTACTGTAATGTGTTACTCCCCAAGACTGCCTAAGAGTTCTGGTGCACTCCCACCCACATTTCACTTTTCTTTCATAGGTTATTAGTAGGTAATTTAGCAAGTCAGCCATTATAAAAGCGTATTAACAGACCTATTAGATTGCACTGTGTTTACTTTTGGTACATTGCATTATTGTAAGGTGTTTTTGCTTGTTTCCAGCTGTAGAAGGCACATTTCAGCAGCAGCAGTCTCCACAAACTCTGATCAATATCCTGCAGCTGTTTATTGCACAGTTATTGCACTGTATTAACAGGTGTTGATATTTTTGTGTCTACTCAGTGTAATGTGCTAGTGTGGAGGCTGTAGTGTGTTGTAGAGGTTCAGTGTGACCCTATTGTATCTGTGTTGTGCTGGCCAGGGGTGGATCTAGAGGATGGCACTGCACAAAAATGCCTGGCCACCCCAGTTTGCTGTCAAATGCTGCCAGATTTAACACACTTCATTTAGGTGAATTTTTATAATATGTGTGTGGCACAATATGTGACAACAGACGTTTCATAAGAGGAGACGGCGTAAACAATGCAGATCAATGTGTTTGTTGCTGTTAAGAGGCTCCAGTCTGCAGTGTGGTTAATATAGTTTACTGATAAACTGTAGAGTGTCATATTTAGCTGCATGATCAAAGAACGTTTTTATATCATGTCATGTAACACATCTGCCCATATTCACGCACTTGTGGTGTGTATGCTCGAGCAGAGAATGACTATGCTCACGGCCCTTAAATCGGGTTCTGGCAACTTGGGTCATGTCAAACTAACTCTGTGCATGACGATGGCCCCCCCTGCAGCTAACCGTGAGGGGGGGTCCTTACAGAGCGGGAGAATTTTACCATGTTTCATTTAGAGGATCCCCCTCACCTGTCACTGGTGCTGCACGGTGCACTCTATAGATTTCCCTCACTTGATACTGACGCTATAGGAGCAGTGGGGCGCATCTATTTGTTTTATTTTTACACCAGTATTGGTTAAATATCAGGATTTGCACCCATATGTAATTGCACTGTAAAATCTGATGAGTTAGTTCAACTCAAACGGTTTGGGAAAACTGATTGCTTAAAAGGGTTTAAATTAATTAAGTACAAATAACCAATTTATTGTTAAGGTAAGGTAAATTCAGTTAGTTGTACTTAAAACTAGTAAGTATAATACACACATTTCTCCCAACTAATTACAATGTGTTCAAAGAATTTATCTGAATAAAGTGAGATTTACTTGCATCTTCTTTGAATTTACTCAGTTTTCTTCCACTTAAGGAAATGTATTACATTGCCTTGCAAAACAGATGATGTACAATAAAAAACCTATTTACAGTAAATCGATTTCAAAGTTTTAACCAATTCATTTTGGGGCTTACATTTTTGCAACAATATAAAGTCAATTTAAAGAAAATTGGTCAATGAGACAAACTGGAATTAGAATCCTTTGACTTTAAAAATGTATGTTGACTCAAAACAGTCAACTTTAATAGTTAATTTTTGATTTGGGTTTTATTCATAAGAATAAGTGACAATTTTTTTTAAGGATTAGGTTGTGTTAGCAACAGTGTTTTTTTTAAAATAAATAATAACATTTTATTTCTTTTTTATTTTTATCATAGTAAGGGGTATACTTTACGGCTTAGCAAGGGGCTGTGCAAATTACACGAGTTTCCTGGAAGAAAAACACAAAAAACAAGGGGAAAACAGTTGTTGGTAGTTATGTCTTAAATTCAATGAAAAAAAAGGCATTTGGAAAAATGTCAGAAAATGTGTAAATCAAACAATGTATTGATTTCTAATGCCACCGTAAGATATTTCTATTGCTTTACTAATGTGTCACAATAATGTTTTTGATATCTTCATTTAGGCTTTTCCAAGCAAATATTTATATATGTGATTGTTTGGGATTAAATCAATATGTATTTCTGCCACCCCTTTAAGTCTCCATGCCACCCTCTGGACACCCCATGAATATTTAGATCCGCCCCTGCTGCTGGCAGTTTGTGTTAGGGTGTGTGTGTGTGTGTGTGTGTGTGTGTGTGTGTGTGTGTGTGTGTGTGTGTCTTTATCCCTTTCCTCCGATTGGCTGCTGAAACTTGTTGGAGCTTTTCCCTCTCAAATAAGAGAAAGCACCAAGAACCTATCCGCGCTCGTGACCCGTCCCCCTTTCTGGAGCCCGCCTGGTCCAGACTTGTCCGAGAGAGACCGTCTCAGTCCCACTAGTCCTATAGAGCGGTTAAATAAGCTCCTGTCACAGAGACAGAGCACTTGTATGTTGTGAACACATGAGCAGCGGATGGAGATTTGCTTTCCTCACAGCTGCAGTTTGCCAACGAATATCTCCTGAACCTGCGCTGTTTTGGGGGTTTCACTGCTCCTCACCCCCTCTTCCTGCTGCGCCACACTCTGGACCTGTTCCCTTCTAAACATCTGTGACCAACAAGTCTACTCTTGAACTGGACTTCTAGAAACTTGTCCGTCTTTTTATTTTATTTTATTTTTGTATCTTTTTTTTTTTTTTTAATGGTACAATGTCGTCTCTGCCAGGAACGGTACCGCGGATGATGCGCCCGGCTCCAGGACAGAACTACCCCCGCACAGGGTTCCCTCTGGAAGGTATGCGGCTCCACGGCAGGCTCCTGGGCCTTTTACCCTAGCAGACAGGAGACTGAAAACTTGAGTGCTCGATATACCTTTTTCACAGCAGCCATTTTGACATGAAATAGTAGGGTAATTACAGCAGGCGTTACCAATGATACTAATTAAGGTTCCGTTCCATTCAGGTCAAACAGAGTCAGGGTGCTGCTGTTGGCTCAGTGGAAAGGCTCTGCATACTACACTAAATGGAACTGGTAACACCTGCTGTGTTTTCCCTACTATTTTATGGTAAAATGGCTGCTGTGAAAACAGGTCTTTCTGATAAATAAAAATATGTTAGGCTAAACAGGAAAGACTTTAACGTGACAGTAGCCATGGCCCTGAGTGTACACTAAGTTTTCCCACTAAAAACACATTTTTCCACATTTTGAAAGGGCCTTTGTTTGCTGACTAAAATTGTGATAATAAGTTAAAACCTAATATTAGCTCACTAGGCTAAACATTTAAGGCCCCATGCTTATGTGCACAATATTAATAATCATTAATTATGGGTAAATATCACAGTTAATGTGGCCCTCAAGTTGTTTTAGAAACAAATTACAAAAAAATGTTTTCTTCTTTTTCTACATCGAATTGCCTCTGTTGCAAAATCTGCATATGAATGCAAATAAAAAAATATATGAGATATATATATATATAGAGAGAGAGAGTATGTGGCCTGCTTGTTTTTATATTTTTGTATATTTTATCAGTGTCTATTATTGGTAGTGTTGGTTTGTAGAATGCAACCAAGGATTCTGTAACATACGGAATTGTTCTAAATAAAGTAAAAAACATATATTAAAAAATCATCCAGTTGCCAACAGACTTTAAAATGAGTGTAAATCCCAAAATAACCCAGACAGAGTTTATAAGCTTTATAAAAATGTGGGATTTCTTCAAGTGTCCTGCGTCTGGAAATGTAAATCAAATATAAAGCATGCAGAAGCAGAGGATTAGGCCCACATTTGGACGGCGTGATGGTGAATAATGAAGACGGACAGAAGGAGCTCTTTACCTCCTCTACAGGGCCGGATGGGACTGTGGAGTGCCGAGCCCTAGAATAATCTGTCCGGGCCTACAGTTAGACGATATGCAGAGAAAACAACCTGTATTTTCCTCTAACTGTCTCTAAGGAAGCTGAGTGTGTCCTCCACAGTGTCCACTCCTCTGGGCCAGGGACGGGTTAACCAGCTCGGAGGGGTCTTCATTAACGGCCGACCGCTCCCCAACCACATCCGACACAAAATAGTGGAGATGGCCCACCACGGGATCCGGCCCTGCGTCATCTCCCGGCAGCTGCGCGTCTCCCACGGCTGCGTCTCCAAGATCCTCTGCCGCTACCAGGAGACCGGCTCCATCCGGCCCGGAGCCATAGGAGGTAGCAAGCCCAGGGTGAGAGCCGGCCGTAATACTACTACTACTACTACTACTACTACTAATAATAATAATAATAATAATAATGATGATATTGAAGTAAATGAGAATTGTGTTTATTTACATCCTAATGACGTTCATATTTAATGCACTTGTATTATTGTTATTTGAATTATTATCATTGGTTTTACACGTGTATGGCCTCATCATCACACTGCGTCCTCGTTGTCCCCCCTGCAGCAGGTAGCCACGCCGGACGTAGAGAAGCGGATCGAGGAGTACAAGCGGGACAACCCCGGCATGTTCAGCTGGGAGATCCGGGATAAGCTGCTGAAGGACGGGGTGTGTGACAGAAGCACAGTCCCTTCAGGTGAGGCCTCCTCTGGTAAGCCCCATTTAATTCAATCTTTCTCAAAATCATTCTCCAATATATTTACAATTTTTAATAAAACAAATAAAAATAAAAATAAAGCCAAGGATGTCACTAGAATGGAAAGGATTCTTCTTCTTCTTCTTCTTCTTCTTCTTCTTTATTAAGCTGGCTTTCTGTCCGCAGTGAGTTCCATCAGCCGGGTACTTCGAGCTCGATTTGGGAAGAAGGACGATGAGGATGAGTGTGACAAGAAAGATGAAGACGGAGAAAAGAAAACCAAACACAGCATCGATGGCATCCTCGGCGACAAAGGTAGGCCGGAGAAGGACACATACAGCCGGGCCGCTTTTAGCAACTACAGAGCGTGTGGACAGCTGCCGGTTGGACTACTGTCTCCGCGGTGAATTGTCTACAAATTGGGCCTAAACGGGCGTTTTGTCGCTCCGGGTTTCCCCTCCTTTAAGCTGTTCTCCCGGCAGACACAGGGGCCACTTAATTATTTATGACGGGGAGCGGCGGAGGGATCGCGCTCCTGTGGCGCTGCTTTAACGCTCCCTTGAAAGCGATGCTGACAGATGACCGACGAGCCAGTCAATATCAATTACAGGCGGCCTGAAAGGGACCCCCGCTCACACCTAGGGGCCAGGAGCCAGTGAGCTCACAGCAGCCTGTTAAAGGGGGTCATAATGTGGACGTCGATTTCACCCAAAAAACAACCACATTTACTTAAGGTCGACCAAAGAGTTTAGAAATACATAACAGAAAAAATACGGTTGAAATGTATTACACTTCAAATTGAATGCCACCAGGAGAATTAAGATCCACAGATTCATCTATCTCAGAATGTACAGCCCTTTGTAAGATTTTTAGTGAGATATTTGAAAAATGTGCACAGATTAAATCAATTTAAGGGGCCAAATGACATTACAAATGACTCAGTTGTGGAGGGCTGTACATTAATATTACTGAAATTGTAATATGATCAAGTGCAATATCTAAATCACAGAAGCTGCAATTTTTTGATAAAGGTAAAATGTGTCACAAACAGCATAATTATGTCATTGAAGTACTCTAGTTCTGAAGAGATACCATTGTCTACAAATCTTGTTCTCCAGATGTTAGAAAACATGTTTGTTTGGTAAGGACCCTGACAAATAATATATATATATATTATCATATATAATGATAATTCCAACAATAATGGTGAATCATATTGAAATTGCAGTAATAATTGCAATATTGGGTTTTTACCATTTCATGCAGCCCTATTATGGAGACATATATTTAGCAGTTCATGAGCTTTTTATGAACATTTCAAAAAAATAAAATGTCATGGATGTGACACAGTGACTGCAACATTTTATATTTAGTGTTAGTTTTGGCAGAGATTGCTGCTGGGTCACTTTTCATCAAGCTGTAGAATGACCTCCATGCTGTTGTTTGTCTTTAGAGCTGCAACGATTAGATTATTAATGGATTAGTTGTCAACTATTAATTGCCAACTATTATGATCATTGATTTGAGTAATTTTTAATGACTGAAATGTCTAAATTCTCTGATTTCAGCTTCTCAAATGCAAATATTTTCTGCTTTTGTTAGTCCTCTATGACAGTAAACTGAATATGGTTTGGGTTGTGGAAAGAACAAGACATTTGAGGACGTCAGCTTGGGCATTTTCTGAGATTTTATGGACCAAACGACCAGTCGATTGTGGAGAAAATGATCAACCAATTAATCGATAATGAAAATAATGGTTAGTGGCAGCCCTGTTGGTGTTGTAGGCCTGTTTGAGTCAGCATCAAAATCAGCTGTCCATTAATTAGACTTAAGGCCTGTAGCGTCCAGTGATTCCGGGCCACTGGTTCCACTGGTGACATTTTTTTCCAACTGTCCTCCTTTTCATGTTCTTCAAAAGATCAGCCTAGCTACTGTCTTTCTGTCATCCGGGCCTGGCATTTAATCATTTGAAGACTTAGCCTATTACAGCTGGTAATGAAACCGGTGTCTGTTGAATAGGCGTCTGTGTTGGAGAGGGGTGTAATAGCTCGAAGGCATGGTAAGAAATATATTTATCCCCTATCAGCCCTCACTCTCACAGTTCTAGGCACATGCATTCTGTTGAAGGGCTTTAAAGCAGATTAAATTGAGCCTTTTATTTCTTTTCACTTTCATCTTTCAGCGGCTCACTTCGCGGTGTGGAGCCTGCGGCGCAAATTCATGAGATTTTAAGGTTCCCTCTCTCATGTTGTTTAGATTGTATTTTTAAATATTCATTTCATTTGCTTTTATTGGATTGTTTCTGGTGGCACGTTGGTAGGTTCTCAGGGAGAGCCAGAGTGTGCTTTAGCAGCAGTTGAATGAAAGAGGTGTGACTGAGACAAACACATGGATGACTACTATTTACAACATTTTCATCTGATAAGCTACTGTATATGCGAACAACGATTGGCTGATATAAAGGAAATCTGTTCCCTACTCTTTTGATAACCGATTAATCGTTATTTTTTAAGTAAAAATAATAAACATTTGCTGGTTCCAGTTTTTTAAATGTGAGCATTTTCTGCTTTGTCATTTGTGATAATAAACGAAGAGCCTTGAAGAGGGGTTTGAACTGGTTAGTTGGCTGCACAAAAGAAGCAATTTGAAGACATCACTTTGGGCTCAGAGAAATTATAATGAGTATTTTTGTTTTTTACATTTTATTGACAAAACAATTCATTGATGAATTGATAATGAAAATAATCACAGTTGCAGCCATTCTAGCAATACAGTTGGTAACACACGCTACATAGCCTACTACATGCAAATAGTCAACTTAATTTCTGTCCAACCCTTAAAACCAGTCACACAATGTTACACATATAATAAAAGATTTATAGTTCAATCTTTATAATTAGCTAATGACTGTATATCTTTTTATTTTTTGATATGATATACAAATCTGCAGAATAATGATCATGTTCTGTCGATACTGGGTCTTTAACAGGGTCAGAGTTACTGCAGTTATTGAAATATGTCTGAAAATATGAATAATAATAATAATAATGAACATGAATCTAATATTATTAGCAAAAAAAATTGCACATGTATGTTTAAAATGAAAGAATTTTAAATTTAGAAAAAGCTTATTATTGTATACACAATAACAATACATTATAGGCCACCCTACATGTTATTGTAGGTCCATTTTAATATCCGACACAATTTTAAACAACAATAGGAGGTCCATTCTCCCTCTCTTTAACAGCTGTGTATTACTACAATGTGAATATGTCTGATATGTTCAGAATACACTGTAAATATATTATAAAATGTTTGTTCGGCCACCGGCCTCCACATATGGTGAATAGGCTTCACTCCACCCTGGGCAGATGTAATGGACAGGGCGGGTACCCTCTGTGGCTACAGTTAGATGGCCGTCTGGTTTTGGTCAAACCACATCCAACCGATGCAACTTCAGTTTAAGGCAGCATTTAGTCAATACGCTGTTTCCCTAAGATATGTATAACCTGCTATAGGGAAAAACAGTGGCAATGTTGGAGTCCAGAATAAGCCTGGCTGAAAGAAAGAAAAAAAAGGTTGACAGCAAGGAAGGAGAGAGCACTTCAAACAAATCCAGTGGAAGTGATGAGACACAGCTTTACAGAGAGCACAGGCTGTGGGAAGTTCTATTGCAGCTATTAATAACCCTTTTCCCCGGGCATCCACACTTACCCCGTTCCATCTGCACTTTCTCCCAGCTATTTTGCCGGGTTGAAATTGAGGGAGACCCAAATGTTGGCTGGAGATAACACAATCATCACAGCCTCGGTCCTGGGCTGTGCATCAGTGTATTAAACTGGGATTAACCTCCCCTTTCTCCCCTGCTGCCTTGCACGAAAAATTCACATTTTTAAGGGACATATTAAAAAAAAAAAAAAAACGACAAGGAGGCTGAAAGCCAATGTGCAACACAGAGGAATGGTATCAACAGTAATATTGATAATCATAATGATAGTAATTGTGTTGAAATGCACTCATCTTCTTTTGATTGATCATTTATCAAGTTAAAATTTATTTTTCTCTAATCGGAGCTTCTCTCTCTTTAAACTGAACAGAATACCACGGATTTGTATTGAATATATTTTTATCTGCAGCTCTAATCTTCGTCTCATATGTTTCAAACAGCAGGAACTTCAATGTTAAGGTGGAGATTTAGAATATCTTCAGACCAAATCTTTGTGAATATGTCTTAGAGGCCTATTTAACATCTTACAGTACATTTTTGTAGAAAACAATGGCTAATTCAGTGAAAAAATACCTGACCGGTCAAGGTACTTGTTCACACTGATGCATATAAAAATCCAATATTGCCATAAATCAGTCCTGATTATTGATGCAAGCAGAAATATAAAGAGATAGATCCACTGATGTAAATATGGCATAGAAAAATCACTGACAAAAGACAAATTTATATAATCTAATGGTAAATATGTAATCATATACCTGTATGGTCACCTACAATTATTCATTTATCTAGTAATCTAATTATCATTGATCATGCTTGTAAGGATGCCAACACAATTATTTATAGTCACTTCTTTCATCAGGAAAATACTCATTCCACCCGGAACACAAATCAGAACTTCTCAACCCCTCCTTGTTTAACACTGGTTTCAAATAACATTTCTAATATTCAGTAGGAATGTAAAGATGTATCGTGGAAAGTTAAATCGTGATACAAATATGTAAAGATTCAAATCGGTGAGATGAAAAATAAATTTTAATATAAGTCATGGTATCAAAGCACAAAGATATCAGTTTCACTTTTACAAAGAAATGGAAATATTCATTGTTATGCAGTTTCTACATCACTAATAAAAAAGGATTCTATAATTTGATAGAGAACATATATTTTGTAGATGTAGGAAAGATTCCTTTATTTCTTAGACATAATTTGTCTTCAATCTCAGTCACGAGAAAATGGTATAGTGAACCCAGTATCATCAACTGTATTGAATTGTGCATTGAGTCTATCGTTACATCCTCAATATCCAGTTCATTTGTCTTAAATAAGTCATCATGAATACTGTGTAAATATAAAATAGTTTGAAAATACTTTGTCATATGGAAGTCGGGGGCATGATGAACACTCATGCTGCAGCTGTGGTGGCATGCTGACCTGAGGACAGGATTGATGCACTGTTTCAGACTTTGAGAGCAGAGGAGGAAGAAGGTGAGGAGAGGAGGAAGCTGCCGGAGCAAAGTGAGCAGCTTAGAGGCTTTGATCCTCTGCTGCTTTTGCTTATCAGAAACATTTGTGGTGACACCAC